CGAATTCTTCTAATTTAGACTTAGATTTAGATAAAGAGTTTAATCGAATTAATAAGTCTATTTCGACTTACGAAATTTATCGTCGACTTAGTTATATTAGAAGACCGTATATTAAAGCTTCTCTTTTAGATACTATTCTTCTAGAGGAAGGAGACTAGGTTAAACTTTATAATTTTGACTATAAAGCTTATTAACTTAGTAAAGCTAAGAAGTAGATTTCTCGGGATATATAACGACGTATAGAGAAGCTAGGTATAAAGTTTTATACGGATATATAAACTATAAACCTATCTAGATCTCGTAGTAAACGTTATTAGGTACTAATTGTCGATAACTATACTCGATATACCGAAGGACTATACTTTCGAACTAAGGAGGAGATTATACCTTATATAATTACTTTCTATAAGAGATAGAAGATTCTTTATAGACGTTATCTAGCTTTCTAGCGGATTAACGGAGGAACTAAATTCTATAAGTTCTAGATATAGGTAGAGGAAGAAGGTATAGTTTTTAAAATCACGCCTACCTATATACCTAAACTAAATAACGTTACGGAGCGTATAGATAGTTATATTAACTAGATTTAACGTATAATAAATATAGACGCTAAGCTTCCTAAATAGCTTTAGCCTTACCGAGTAGATACCGTAATTTATATTTATAATCGTTTAGTTAATCTAAAGACTACGAGGATACCGATTATCTCTTAGTAGGAGGGCCTTAGTCTTAGTAAGACGAGGGTTAATTTAAAATATCTTCGTATATAGGATACTATCGTGTTTGTCTATATTCCGAGGGAGATACGTATTTAATTAGAGAAATTAGCTACTCGTATATTTAGAGGATATCTAGTTAGTTATAAAGGTAAGAATAGTTATATCTTTAAGGTATAGAATCCTACTTCGAAGGAGATTGTTTATTTATAGGACGTTACTTTTCCCGATAAACTAGATCTTAACTCTTCTCGATTAGATAACGATTTAAAGGAGGGTATTTTAGCTAGAAAGCCGGTACCTAAGGATCCTAATTTAGATAATAACACTAGGACACTTTATAAAGAAGGTAGTCTATATATTCTAGATTTTATAATTAAGAAAGGCAAATAACCTTACGAAGGTCCGAAGGTTATAATTAGACTAAAGCTAGTTCTATAGGTTTCTATTACTAGTAGATAGCTAGAGGTAGTAATTTAGGTTTTAAGACCTATGATTTAATAGAAATAAGCTTCTATAGGTCCTAATATACTAGGAAGAGTATAGACTATACTACCTATACTAAAGCCGTTAACTAGAATATAGGAGATCGAAGATTAATTTCTACTATAGTAACTAAATTTCCGGAAGTAAGTTAAACCGGCTTACCTTCTACCGCTAAAGAGGTAGGTTATTTAGCAGCTAATTTATTAGTTAGTTCCTTAGTTAATACGTCGTTATCTAGTTCTTTAACTATAGGTTTATAAGACAATTCGACGTTATATAGTTAATTATATAGACAGTAGACTATTACTTCCGCTAGTCCTACCGTAGCCTAGAAAATAGGTAGTAGTATCTCCGGTTTTAGAGGCTATTCTAGAGTCTCTAGTTATTTACTAATCGATCGAGGAGGATAATAGTAAAGATAGTAAAGATAGTAAATATAATAATTTTGTTTATTAAGGATAGTATATATAACAAGCTACTTATAATATAGAAGTTCCTATATAATAGGCTATTCCTACTTCTCCTTAGTATTTACCTAGAGTATTCCGGGAGGATATTCTATAGGAGATTTCTTTATAGGAGATTTTTCCGTAGGAGGTTTCTTTATAGGAGCTTTCTATATAGGAGGTTTATAATCTTATTATTTTAGAGGAAGAGTAGGTAGTGGTTTAGCCTAGTTCTTATTAGGTTTCTAAGCTTATTTTTGAACTATACGTAGAGACGGTTTCCGAGGTCGAATTACTATAGGAGGTCTTAGTTAAAATAATTACCGATAGTTCTATTACCGAGATAGCTTCTATTCTACTAGAATACTTTATTCCCCGACGATTAAGCCGGACGAGACGATCGTTTAAACAATACGGTTTTCCTATAGAACTTACTAAGACTATATCGATTCTAAAAACGAAACCGAAATAAACGAAACAACCGAAGCGAATTATTGTAAAGCCGGACGTTCTATAGGGTAATAATAGTACTAATAAAGGATTAGGTAATAATAGTAATTAAGGTAGGGGAGACTTATAAAGTCGAGAGTTATTACGAAACAGAGCACTCCTTTTATTTATAACGGTAAGCCTTTATACGTTAAGGACGTTATTATTTCCTAGTCTTATAATAAGGCGATAAATTCTCGATTTTTAGACCGCTAGTAAGTAGCGATAGAAGATTAGTTTAACGATATTTATATAAAAAGGACTTTTAATATCGTTCGTAAACCGCTAGGAGTAATACCTCTACCGAGTTAATAGATTTTTGATCTTAAAGTAACGAAAGATAACCTTATTTATAGTTTTAAAGCGTACTAGATAGTTTATAATAACTACTAGTAGAAGAAGGAGGATTTAATCTTCTATACTCTAGTTATTTAGAACGTTCTTATAAAGATTATCTTTATACTTATTACGTAGAGAGGTTATAAATAGCGTTAGTTTAACGTAGTAGCTATATATCTTAATACTTCTCGTAAAGATTAGGAGATAGTTTATATTGTTTAACTAGTAGGTTTTAAATACTCCGAACCTAATATCGGAAATAAAGGTTAGGTTTGTTAATTACGGTAGGTATTATTTAGCCTTTATAATTCGGTAGCTCTATAGAATAAGGAACTTAATAGAAGACTAATCAAGATTAGGTTTTATACTCTTAATAATAATCTATATATCTACGTTAAGATATATAATAGTTTAATATAGTTTCTTCTTATTTATATTAATAATTTTATTAATATAGCTTTAACCGACAGAGAGGTCGAGATAATTTTTTAGTAGGTAAAGGGTTAGTTCGAGATTAAGGATATAGGAGAACTATCCCGTTTTCTTAGTAGTACCGTTATCCGGGATTACGATAAAAGAATAATTTAGATAACGTAGTAGGTATACTATCTAGAAGCACTTCGCTTAGTAGAGATATAGGTATATTCTTTAATTTCGATTCCGCTTTCTCTAAACTATAAATAGGATAACAGTAATAAGGATCCCGACGCTCTTCTAGATTAGGAGGGGTATACTTTATTCCGGTCTTTAGTCGGTAGACTTAACTAGCTAGTAGTTAAAACTAGGCCTAATATCAAATTTAGTATTATAAAGTTATAATATCGTTCTACTTCTCCGACTACTAACGATTTATAGGTAGTCCGTACTATCTATAAGTATTTTAGTAATATAATATACCTTAATATAACGCTAGGGGGGGTAGACGATATCTTATTCTTTATATATACCGATACTTTATATAGTAATTAGTATAATTTAAAATCGATAGAGGGTACTATTTAGTTTTTCGGTAGCGTACCTATTATTTAGTACTCGAAGAAATAGAGTATTATAACTCTATCGTCGATAGCTACGGAATAATATACTCTAGATCGACCTACTAGGGATACTTAGTAGATTTTAAAGATTACTAAGGCACTTAATCTTCCTAAGATAGGTAATCTAATTATTATTTTAACAAATAATATTAATACTCAGTTACTAATAGGCAAGAAATCGTATAAGAACAGCATACGTTAGCTTAATATAAAGTAGTTTTTCGTTAAGGACGCTATTTTCTAGAAGAAGATCGATTTACAGCGCGTCGAGACGAAGAGTAACGTCGCCGACGGGTTTACAAAAGCGCTTAATAAAGAAGCATATACAAAGTTCATCTAGATATTAGGTCTTAATTAATCTATATACTAAAGTTTACGGGTGGATATAGGTTTACGATATATAGGAAATAATAGAAAATAAGAAAACAAAATAGAGAGTTTTTATTAGTAGAGACAAAGAGATATGGTGATAGTCTTCGTCCTAAAGGGGGGTATTAGAGTCACGTGACGGCCATATAGGGCCGTAGGTGATCCTAACCCACAGAACTTAGGATATTGTTAGACAGTAGCTAGTTTTTCTTCTCTTCTTTTCTTTCTCTCCAGAGTCTACAATATTAATCCCTTGAGGTTAACATTCATTCCTGCATAACCTATATTCCATCTGATAGTTTAACCTATAGGGAATAGTAGTAATTCCTTTTCGGGGGCTAGGAAGTAACTAAATGGTCTATACGACTAAAGTAGGAATTGGCTTGTTGATTATCGAGGAGCTCTTATACCGACTTTAGAAAGCCGCTAATCCTTTAGAAGAACGAAGAACCAGCAATCCTAATTGATATTATTTTATAAAGTCTATTAATTGAAAATCCTATCTTTTTACGGTAGTATCTATATATACGGCAATTATTATTATTATTAACGTCCCTAAGGCGTTAGCTACGGGCCGTTTTAAATATTACGCCTAGGAATTCTACTATAACTAGTTTTACTAGGTCCTTAGAATATAATTAGGAGTATAGAACTAAGCCTTTATAGAAAAAGGCTCCTTAGCTTTTAATTAGCAACTTATCGAGTTTAAAGAAGAAAAAAGCGGTCGCTAAGATAGTTCTTACTAGTTTAGTCGGAATAGTAAAATATATCTTAGATATCTCTTCTAATTTGCTTATATCGTCTAACCGAGGAAGTGGTTTAGGAAACTTGTGATTTAGCTAAAAGATATTTAATCTTTCTATATCTAGTACGAAATTGAGTGCCTTATAGAATCCTTGCTCGCTATCTATATATAGAGAGGATATTGTCGCTTAGATTATACGTAGGATAGTACTATCTTATAATATACTACTAGTACCCTTAATTAGCTTAGCGATAGAAGAAAATAAGCCCGTTCCTACTAATAAGAGTAGATTATAGGTTTTTATAGAGGGCTAGATAACTACTAACTTCTTAAGCGTAATTACTAGAGGATTATTAGCTCGGACTCCGCTATTTTATAGCGTACTAAAGCTTAGAAGGGATTTTGATCGGAAAAAGCTATATATTATTAGTTACTATTTTTAAATCTACTAGGATACTTATAAAGGGGCTACGACGCTATAATAAGCTCTATTAGTATTATTTATTAGTAAAGTTCTTCGTTCGTTCTAAATTAAATTAATAATAGTTTAACTTAACTTATACTTTCTAGACGTAAGGATTCTTATCCGCTATCTTAGGGATAAGGAACTTATATACTATATTTACTTCTCGCTAGCTTATTTTACGATAATTTACTAAGATATAAGCTTTTCTATTAGAAGTACGACTTATAATAATAGCGACTCGGTAACTAGTAGAGCTTATCGTCGTGATATCGAATATTCGGCGTTAGGGGTCGACTACTTTTTATAAGGTATCCTCTAGTCTTTCCGAGTCGTACTAATAATTAGCTAAAAAGTATACTAGGCTTTTTATCTATATAGCGTACTAGGATATCGAGGATTTTAGTATATATTTAGTAGGCGATCTAAAAATTATCCGAGTAAAAGCCGAAAATTTAGCGTAACTCTTTTCTATAGATAGGCTATTTAATATTATATCTACCGCTAAAAGCGCCCCTTTTTTTTTACGGATTAGAGTCTTTTAATTATAGGTATATTTTTTATTATTACGGATACTCTTACTAATACTTGTCCCGGCAAATAAATCGGCGATATATACTATCGATATTCCGCTAATCCGCCTTTCTAATACTCGTAGAAGCCTTAATTAAACGATACTACGAACCCCTCCCTTATTTAGACTTAATACGATTAGCTCCTTAGTTAGTAGAAGTTAACGAATCGTAAGATTTATAGCCTTATTATAGATAAGGTATTTCGGTAGGTCGATATAGTACTCCGTACGGGGACTTTTAGTTCTATATATAATAACGTAGTTATTATAGATTATATGCCTATAAGGTAGTATATACTCCGGTAGTCTATATATATAAGTAAAGTAAGTTATTATTAAATATAAACCCCCTATCGGCGATAGAACTGAACTAGCGATTCGTAACGAATATCTACTAAGACCTTAAATCTTAATTGAATAAAGCCCCCGACGAAGCGGTATAAAACTTTATTATAAACTATTTTAGCGTCTCCCCTTTCCTAGGCCTTCTAATAATATGCCCGATAAAGGGCGTTAAAAACTATATTCGGCTCGAAAACTAAGATAATTTAAATTATTAGTGATAAACTATATAAAGATTATAAGGGATAATAAAATAAGCTATAGGCGGAGATAGCTTACGATATATTTTAGGCGGATAAATATCTAGAAGGAGAGCCGAGGCGATAAAATTATAAAGCTTATCCTTAGGGTAAGTAGAACTTATAAATTAAGTTTTTAGCTCTATAAAATAACTAACTATTACTAGTTTCCTTTTATAACGCTCTTATACTACTAGAAGATAGTTAAGGTTAGCTAGGTTTAAACTTCCTATCCGAAGTTAAAGACCTCGGCCCTAAAGTACATTAAGATATACAGCTAAGAATAAGAGGTATTTCTTTTTCTATAATAATCGAATCTCTTAGATTTACTTAAGAACTAGGCTTCTTAATAGGTCGAATGTAATGAATAAAGACAATTCTGACCGGTTACGGATATCTAGAACTGTGATCTTATACTGCCCTAACTATATATTAGGTAATTTAAAGCTATTATCCGCGTTATACGCCTCGGGTTAAGTGTTATCTAATAGTATAATAATAATACGTATTATACTATAGATATATAAAGTTCTAATTAATAGGGTCCTAATCGGTATATCTAGCAGCTATTATATATTTCGTATCTTAGAGACAGTATCGATAAAAAAATAAAGAATTTGTATCTATAGTAAAATCTTATATCTAATTACTTCTTATTAAAGGTCTGCTAGACGTTAAGACTCCCTAAGGACGAGAGGATATTATCGATATTTATCTCTAGACCACCTAAGTAAGTAATTATTACCTACCCTAACTTAACTAAAAGGATTACTCTTAGTAAATATAATAGGATACTTAGTATGTATAGTTGCTATACTAAGGTACGCTCGAATAAGCCTAGCGGGTTCCTTACGTATAATATTATTGTAAGGAAATAAAGCTTAAAGGGCTTTAATGCGATTTCTATTACTAGCAAAATAGATAAGAGAGGGGTATTACGAGTTAGGGTAGCTTATTCCTTAGATAATTTCTTTAAATCGCCTTATATCTACTAAAGAACTACCGGTAGTATTAGAGAGTATATTAAGCTACGCTACTATAATAATCCCCTACGCGTTATAAGTAATATAGCTTCCTAAGAGCGTTAGTGCTTTTATATTATTTATTTCCGGTATCTTTAATTTTATATAAGGATTTCCTACTATCAATTACTTAATGACTCCGTATAATAGCTCTATTATAGCGATAAGTGAGTTAGCTCTTATATTCTTCTACTAGAAATTAGATTCTAGCTATTATTAGTAGGTATATAAGTTATATAAGGTAATTTAATTTAATCTAATATCCCGTCTCTAATATTAATACTAATAGTATTTTCCTCTAGTTAAACGTCCTCTCGGTTTAGTACGAGAATTAAACTTCTAATTATATAGTAGCTACTAACAACTTAAGCTCTTACTTTAGTGGCCGGTAGCCGATACGCTTAAGTATATCGATATAAAAATACTAGAAACAATTATCCTATTTACGTTAGCCCTATAAGAGGAACGTATATAGGCCGATATTAATTAACTATAGGATTTCTAGACTAGAGTAGGCGTATATATATAGATCGCGGTTAGTAGCTCGGCTCGGAACGAGCGGGTCGGATTCGGGGTAGCGATCGAGAAATAACCACCCTAGTATCGAAAACTGAAACTAAAGACCCTTTCTATTATATTAGGTGTAAGAGTAGAGCAAAATCCGTTCTTTGCGGAGCTAGTAGCGATAGTATATATATTGAATATAATAGTTAGACCGGATTACGCTGCTTATAGATAATAAAGCTATAGCTCTAATACTAAGGAATCCTCGGTAATAATTAGGCTAGATTCGTCTACTAACTATATAAGTTGATAAGAAAGCTACGGAGAAAGAAACTATAAGATCTAGCTAAGGAATAGGCTAGAGCCGCGATATAAGAAGATACTATCCTATAAAAGTAGGTCCTAAGGATAAAGTCAATAATACTTAATATTATACGGTCTTAAGCAGTCCCTAGTAATAACCTTCTAGTAAATATAGGGAGATATATAAAACGAGTTAATATAGCATTCCTAGGCAAATATACCCGGTAGCTATATAACCGATTATCTTAGAAAGAAGCGAGCGTACTAGCTTAACTCCGAACCGGTATAGTAAGACTTAATAGATATCTCTACCGAATTAATATAGTAGATATAGACTAGTATACGTATAGATAAGCGAGAGAGACTGTAGAGTACTTCCTATTTCGATATTAAAAATAGACGGCGTACCGGACGGAACTACTATAATATACTAATACCTACCGAGGAAATATATCCTTCTTCCTAGGAGGAAAGTCGCCTTCCGATAATTAGAAGTAGAGGCCGAACTTAGAGGCGGTACGGGCCTTTATACGATTCGCTATTACTACGGGCCGACTCGAGGCTACCTAACTATACCGACGAATATAAACCCCCCCCTTTTTGCCGATCTAACCTACTAACTACCTCGTCTTATAGACAGTAGACGCGCTTTAACTACCGAAGATAGGATATTAAATACTTAAAAAAGCGCCTTTAAGCTAGCCTACTAATAAAATTACTAACCTACGAGGATCCGCTACAATACGGATACCTAAGATAATATATATTGTAATACTTTATATATAGGCTTTGAGGAGATATAGTACTATATATATTATGATATGTATAATAGATTAGAGATAGTTGCCCTTTCGGCTTAGCCGCTAGGCGTTAATAAATTGTGTGTATATATATATATATATATATATATATATATATATCTATCTAGTTTGATTTAACGGATTTCCGCCTACTTATATATTAACTAATATCTTAAATTTTCGTTACTAAGCTCTACTATAGCTATCTATAAAGCCTCTAAAGGCTATCCTTTTTGCTACGTTAGTTATTTACTTATTATTCGCAACGAGACGGTACTTTACTAGTTAATAAGCTTCTAAGGTCGTACTAGAGGAGCGTATATTGTTTTATATACTAATTGTATAAATCAAGATCTTCCTATATAAATAGTAATAGTGTTCTAGAGTAAACTAAGTATGATTGTAGGGTCCTAGTGATTTTCCTAAGTTATTATAGTAATATAGCTATAGCCTTATATTCTTAACTACATTCTATACTTATATAATTTATTATTTTATTAACTATTATAGGTATATATACTATAGGGTAATATATATATAGGTGCTAGCAGCTAATATATTAAATATAATACTTAGACAATAAGGAATATATATAGAATATATATTTGTTGATTTAGCCTAGATAGCAAATAGAGAGCGTCTATATCCTTAGTAAGTAAGTTGTTCTTATCCCCCTATTGTACTATTATTAGGAAATATTTAATTTAAACTCTAGCCTATTTAGAATATATCCTTTTCCCCTTCTCCTTATACTGAAATTGCCTAAAATTAAAGATTGATATTTATTCTAAGTATAAATAAATAGAAGTAAAACGGAGACGACTTAATAAGTATACCGAGTAAAGTCCTTATATCGCTAGCGATAGAAAATAAAATTTGCTACTATTCTCGCTATATTAATACTAGGATAATTAGATTACTTTTAAATACCGAGATCTTTAGCCGCTTTCCCCTACCCTAGATATCTATATCTATATCTATATTTATATTATCTTCTATAATATAGCCTTACTTCTTTAGCTCGTCTATATAAACATATATAGCAGCTTTAAATCTCGTAATATATTTATCGTCGAGGCTACTAAAATCAGTTTCCGGAATTCCTACTCTTCCTAACTATCTCTTATAGAACTTGCTTAATTTTAGTAAAGGCCGATTTTGACTAGATCCGCTATTTATATTATTATTAAGGCTATTGTTGTTCGGACCGTTGCTATCCTAACCACTAGTATTCTAACTACTAGTATTCTAACTATTAGTATTCTGACTACTAGTATTCTAACTATTAGTATTCTGACTACTAGCGTTCCGTACATTAGGACTAGAGTTATCGATAAATAGATTATTGTCTTTATCGTCTTTACTATCTAATTCCTACTTTACCGAAACTAAATTAAGCCGCTGTATATTATTCGCCGCTAGTTAGCGACTTCCTAGCCTCTACCTTTCGGGATCTATCTTTATACCTTATATACTTAATATAGAAGGCTCTTTTATAAGCTCGCGCTTTATCCTCTCCTACTTCTATACTTTAAAAAAGTCTAGTAAGTAAGGAGTAGGTAAACGATTAGGGCTATCTCTTCCTATTTAGCCTTACTACTAAATATGGCGTTCCTCCTACTTATCCTAAGCCTCGGAGATCTTTTGCTCTACTATAGCTAGGTTAGTAAGTCTAACTAGATCTTGTTTAGTAATCTAGGAGTTACCCCTAGTTAATAATCTCTAATACGTAGTATCGATTCCTTACTATTTAATTTTAATAAAAGCCGGGGGAGCTATTTTATAAACCTTATCTATATCTTCTTTTCTTTTATAAAATACTATACCGACAAAGCTAACGATATTATCCCTATTATATCTATAATATTCTTCCCCGTCCTCCCCTTCGTATATTACGTACGAAATTCGGGTCTTTTCTTTAGATACTTTCTATAGCCCTTAGGTATTATACCTATTTCTAGGCTAAACCCGGTATTTTGCCGCTTTATAAGGCCTATACCGAACTAGTAATACGTTTAACTGTTTAAGACGACTCTAGGCGTCTAGTTCTCTATCGCGATCGCTGCTAATTAAGAGCTTCTTTAGGTTAGTTAGGACCTTATCCGACGAGTCTAACGGGTTATTAGCGCCGATAGGAGAGGGACTACTAGATTTAGCTGCGTTCTTAGCTATATAACCCGACCTTAGGCTAGCTCTAGGGGATTTAGATAGTTTCCTTTTAGACTTAGCGTCTCCTATAGGCTAGTCGTTCGGTTTATCTAAAACCGCT